AAAAGTAGTTATAGGAGTGTAGCACAGAAGAGAAAAGTAGTTATAGGAGTGTAGCACAGAAGATAAAAGTAGTTATAGGAGTGTAGCACAGAAGATAAAAGTAGTTATAGGAGTGTAGCACAGAAGATAAAAGTAGTTATAGGAGTGTAGCACAGAAGATAAAAGTAGTTATAGGAGTGTAGCACAGAAGATAAAAGTAGTTATAGGAGTGTAGCACAGAAGATAAAAGTAGTTATAGGAGTGTAGCACAGAAGATAAAAGTAGTTATAGGAGTGTAGCACAGAAGATAAAAGTAGTTATAGGAGTGTAGCACAGAAGATAAAAGTAGTTATAGGAGTGTAGCACAGAAGATAAAAGTAGTTATAGGAGTGTAGCACAGAAGATAAAAGTAGTTATAGGAGTGTAGCACAGAAGATAAAAGTAGTTATAGGAGTGTAGCACAGAAGATAAAAGTAGTTATAGGAGTGTAGCACAGAAGATAAAAGTAGTTATAGGAGTGTAGCACAGAAGATAAAAGTAGTTATAGGAGTGTAGCACAGAAGATAAAAGTAGTTATAGGAGTGTAGCACAGAAGATAAAAGTAGTTATAGGAGTGTAGCACAGAAGATAAAAGTAGTTATAGGAGTGTAGCACAGAAGATAAAAGTAGTTATAGGAGTGTAGCACAGAAGATAAAAGTAGTTATAGGAGTGTAGCACAGAAGATAAAAGTAGTTATAGGAGTGTAGCACAGAAGATAAAAGTAGTTATAGGAGTGTAGCACAGAAGATAAAAGTAGTTATAGGAGTGTAGCACAGAAGATAAAAGTAGTTATAGGAGTGTAGCACAGAAGATAAAAGTAGTTATAGGAGTGTAGCACAGAAGATAAAAGTAGTTATAGGAGTGTAGCACAGAAGATAAAAGTAGTTATAGGAGTGTAGCACAGAAGATAAAAGTAGTTATAGGAGTGTAGCACAGAAGATAAAAGTAGTTATAGGAGTGTAGCACAGAAGATAAAAGTAGTTATAGGAGTGTAGCACAGAAGATAAAAGTAGTTATAGGAGTGTAGCACAGAAGAGAAAAAGAGCTGCACAGGGGAACAAGGAAAACGGGAAAAGTTGCCAAAATTTCATCTTGGTTGAATCCAAGCGAAATATCAGTTGCTAGCACTGCTCCTCAAAATCCAGTAGCTTCGTCTGCATTCACTGTTGTATCCAGCAATTCAGTTCCAGGCATACCATTACCTAATTCACCAGCTGGAGAAATTTTAAAAGATGAAACACACAAAGCTGTGTCGGAAAACGAGAGTGTGATTCACGACACCGATCCCGGGCTATGGCATATTAAGAATACTTGTGCAGTTGAGTAGTGCATTGGTAGTGGTGCCAGCAGTGGGTCAGTATATCATGACTTCAACCGTCCAAACTCAGCGAGACTGGACCCTGGAGCTGGAGAAGAAAGAACTAAGACAAAGTATCAAGGAATATATTCAAGCCGTTTTTACTCTGGGGTTCAGAGGCGTAGCGTGGTGGGGGCAGGGGGGGGGAGACAGATTTCCCCGGGCGCCAGCTAGTTAGGGGCGCCAAAATGTGCTTTGATATTATTTTATTGATGAAAATAATGGGTTTGAGAGTTGAAAAAAAGAAAAAGGGGCGCTAAAAATGGATCTTGTCCCCGGGCGCGAATCTTGTCCCCGGGCGCCAAACACCCTCGCTACGCCACTGCTGGGGTTTCGATGGTGCACCTCTTCACTCCTCTGTTTTTCAGCGTTCTTTCTGACTGCCCAGCCCAGCCTAGCGTATCCTTTTCATTGTATTTCTGCTACTAGTACCACTAGCGTGGGATCACGGTGTCAAAGAACTATCCATTGTGATACAGAATTCATTTATTTTAAAAGCGCATTAATAACAAGAAAACAAATGTGCCCCAAACTAAATAAAGAAAGAAGTTTCTTTGTGATTCATCGCCCGCGGGCCTCACTATTTAGCATGCTCGGCCGTCCCTGATTAAGACTGCTGTTGTAATTAATTTGAGATCCCCAATTTGTCCTCATGTCAGGCCAGCCAATCAACTAAAACGGGTCTCCAAACTACGGCCCGCGGGCCGGATCTGGTCCGCGAGGCCATTTCATCCTGCCCGCCGACGGTACTTGAATTTGCTTGATAAAACGTATGTTACCCACGGAGAAGAAAAACTTGTTGAATTTTACCGCTGCTAACCTGATGTTGAGTTGATGAAACTGAAGAACTTTGCCGCTGGTACGACATTAGTGTTTGGAACAACTTATGTCTGTGAGCAAACATTTAAAAAAAATGAAGTATGTGAAGTCAACACATCGAACGAGAGTGAATGATAAACATTTGAAAACAATCCTCTTGATTGCATGCAGGAATTCGAAAACCAAACATTGATGAAATCTTGAAAGCCAAACGTCAGTTTCATAAATCTCACAAACTATTTTTTGCTGCTTAGTTTGTGAGATTCGAATATGTGCGCACTGGGTCTGATGTATCTTTTTTGCTAACGTCGCCCTATTTGATTACTTTTAAAGAAAATACATATGTTGGTTGTCTTTATTATTTTTTTTTGTACATTGCACGCCACTCACCCATCATTAACAATCATGGAACACTAAACTTAGTTCCCCCCCCCCCCCCCCCCCC